GGGGCTGGAAGGAACAGAGTAGATTCCATTATCAAAGAGGTGTGATTATTTGTTTTATACTGTCTGGAGGATCCCTAATGCAAGGGACATGCCTTTATTTTGCTGAAAACGGAACTCCCCGAGACCAAATGATCTACTGATGCCACCTGGGGCAATAGATATCAATTGGACTAAACAATGGATATGTCAAGAAGTCTGGAACAAAAGGCTGGAGGATGAAATGCCTTGTGGAATCAGGATGTTGAGAAGCTCCTGTGTATACTGTGGGAACTTGAAAGTCCATTTCTTGCTTAGGGTTAGACACCTGCTCAGAAAAGATCTGATAAGAACCTAAGCTTTTTACCTCGGACTGACCTTCAAGCTCTGCACGAGTGGAAGTGATGGCTAAGGCAAACTTTTAAATGGCCCAACTAAGTTTATGCAGACTGCCAGCTAACAGAACAGTAAACACCTCCATGACCACATGTGACAAAGAATGTACTCTTTTCAAAAATAGCTTAGAAATGACTGTAAACAAATAAAAAAAAAACCTGATAAGTAGCAACAATAATCCCTGGGGAGGAGTTAGACTCTAAGTTAGTTACCATATTATAATATTCAGAATATCTAGTTTTTAGCAGAAAACACTGAGGAATGTAAAGAAACCAGTAAATTTGTTCCATCCACAAGAAAAAGAGAAAATAATGGAAACTGTATTCGAGGAAGTCCAGGCATTGAATTTGCTAGCCAAAGGGTTTTAAATCACCGTGTTAAATATGCTGAAACAGCTAAATGAAACCAGGAAAACAATGACTCTCCAAGCAGAGAGTATCAGTGTATAGCGAGAAATGATAAAAAGAAATCAACTAGAAATATTAGAGGGAAAAAATATAATAAATGAAGTATTCTATTCACAAGTAGAGATCATCAACAGATTTGAACAGGAAGAAAATGAATTGGTGAACTTAAAGGTAAGTCAGTTGAGATTATCTTGTCTAAGGAGTAGAAAGTCAAAAAGCAGGAAGATGAAGAAAGCCTAAGAGACTTAAGAGGCCTGTGGGATTCCATCAAGGGTACTGACACACATAATATATATTCCAGAACGAAAGGAGAGAGAGAAAGGGGCAGACAGAATAGCTGAAGAAAAAATGGCTGAAAACTTCTAAAATTTGATGAGAGACACTAATCAACACATTTAAGAAGCTCATCAGAATCTAAGTAGGAGAAATTCTGAGATACACAAGATACATGATGTGGTTTAGCTCTGTGTCCCCACCCAAATCTCACCTTGAACTGTAATAATCCCCACATGTCAAAGGTGGGACTAGATGAAGATAATTGAATCATGGGGATAATTCCTCCCTGCTGTTCTCCTGATAGTGAGTGAGTTTTCACACGATCTGATGGTTTTATAAGGGGCTTTCCTCTCCACTGTCTTCTCATTCTTTCTCCTGCTACCCTGTTAAGAGGTGCCTTCCACCATGATTGTAAGTTTCCTGAGGCTCCCCAGCCACGCTGAACTGTGAGTTGATTAAACCTCTTTTCTTTATACCAGTCTCGGGTATTTCTTCATGGCAGTGTATGAATGGACTAAGACAGCATGTAAGGATCACATTGTCAAAAGCTGAAGACAAAAAGAGAATCTTGAAAGCAGCAAGAGAAGTGACTCATTATGTACAAGGTTTCTTCAATAAGATCAACAACTAGTTTCTCATTAGAAATCATGGAGCCAGAAGGCAGTTGAAGAACCATATTTAAAGTATTGAAAGCAATAAAAAAGTCAACAAGTTCTTAGTTGACAAAGCTTTCCTTTAAAAATGGAGAAATCAGTACATGCCTGTATTGGTACAACAGTACAATGTCTTAGATGCATTTCAAAATAAGATGCAGATATCAGTACATATTACTCCTAAACACTTCAGTATGTATATCATTAATTAGACTTCAGTATTTGTTTATGATTATTTTTCCTTTTGTTGATATAAAATTTTCACAGTGAAATGCACAAATCTTAGAGTTTTGATAATTGCATGTAAGTAACACACACAAACTCTTTTCATTATTTAAAGTATTGCTGTTATCCTTCTAAGTTAGTTATTTGCCCTCAGATGCAAGTATTGTTTTAATTTTCTTCATTATATTATTGAGTTCAAAAAGTAAAGGATTTGAGATATTACCATACTTCTACATTTATACACACACATACACACATACACGTACACAGTGTATAGATGGCATATGTTTAATGTATATACACACACAAAAGCAGAAACACTGATGTCTGGATCAGAGAAGACACTTTTTATTCACTCATGGTTATCTTAGTGTTACCTCCCTGCACTTCAGTTCCCCATGAGGATAATGTTGTGAGGGTCAGTGCCACCTGTATATCTTGGGGGATGGAAGTTGTAATACAGGAGAGGAGCTCCTCCTAAATGAATCAATCTCAGAATTTATATAGGACTGTGTATTAGTCCATTTCCTGCTGCTGATAAAGACATCCCAGAGACTGAGCAATTTATAAAAGAAAGGTTTATTGGACTTATAGTTCTGCATGGCTGGGGAGGCCTCACAATCATGGTGGAAGGTGAAAGGCACGTCTCACATAGCAGACGAGAGAAGAGAGAGCTTGTGCAGGGAAACTCCCCGATTTAGAACCATCAGATCTCATGAAACGTACTCACTGTCACGGGAACAGCATGAGAGAGACCTGCCCCCATGATTCAGTTGCCTCCCACTTGATTCCTCCCATGACACATGGAAATTGTGGGAGTACAGTTCAAGATGACATTTGGGTGGGGATGCAGCCAAACTATATAGACCGTATGCATCTCAGAGCTTATATAGAACTCCTTTTGCATCTGCTTCTCCTCCACTGTGTAGAGAGAGGGATAGTTACCTTTCTAATGTAAACACATTTCTCTTTTCTGGGGAGAAGAGGACAATGTCTCTTTTTCCATTACCCTGTGGAATTTAAGTGATGGAAAATAAACCCATATGTCTCCTTGGTTGTCTCTCTGTCTAACTTCCAAGATTCATTTGCCATTTACTCACTTGTTAATCGAGATTGCCAGCACTCTTTGCTCAGGAAGTCCTGATCATGCAAAAACATGAATATAATCAGGGAACATTGTTTACTGATAACAAAAATTAATTTAACTTGTGGTTGAACTTTATATAATTAGAATCATATTGTTTTCTTTTTGGGATGTCTTTACTCAGCATAATATTTTGGACATTGATCCACATTGTATTAGTAGTTATAATTTCAGTGTTATTTTGCTGAATAATGTTCTATTACTATTAAATTCTTCTGTTGAAGCTTTAACCTCCAAATATGACATAGACTGCACCCACTTATGTTTGAATGATGACTCTTATGTACACCCATGGAGCTGTCATGTTTGCCTCCAGTGCCACAGGTTTTATATGTTTTTATTTCTGTAGGTTCTATAGTAAATGTGTGGCCTTCCTGTCTTACCTCCAGTTCCTACTCTCCAAAGGCAAGCAGATCTAACTCTTTTTGGCTTTGTCTTCTATTGGTTATCTTCAGATTTTAAAAAATAACTTGTTTATATGATTTTTTTTCCAGTGACTCAGTGTATCCTGTAATTTAGAAATAGGAATATTTTGGAAATAATGAGGAATCAATAAATGGTCCCTTTTTGAAACTTTAGATAAAGACCTTTTATATTCCAATTATTTTTGTTTTTTGCTTTTTTTAAATGTTAAATTGGTGTTTTGTGGAGTCCTAGTTTTCTACCCTCCCTTTACCTAGAATAAGTTTTTATTTCTGTTTTATGTATTAGATTTCCTCATAGTATTAAATAAAGAACTTTTAATTAATTCCCCTCCTTCTTAAAATGTCCACAATTATTATAAAACCTCTGCTTTAACCCATTTGTTTTTTATGCCCTGGAGGATAATTAAACATCAATTTCAATTCAACACACATTTACTTTCATCTCTCTAACATAAACTTTTTATTTTAGGGATTAAGGTATGGAGAGAATGAATACATGAAGAATCATGATTAGTTCTACTTAGGTATATTGTAATTTTGTTTTATAATTTGTGATTGAATAAAAACTACTCTAAAATGCATTTTGCTTAACAAAAAATGATTCCGTTTTCTTCCCCATCACTGGGTCTGCATTAATTAGTTTTTAAACAAGTAGGACCCTTATTTCTCATCTCTTGAAACCCTTAAACCTAGGTTCAACATGTTTCATGAGCATATTTTGCTTCAGAAAATTTGAAAAATGCCCTACTATAAATCCTCCAGATTTCTCAGTAACAAAGTTTGGAAACTGCTGCATTTAGAAATCTTGTTTCTTACATACTAGAGCTGAGTATCTAGTCATAAGAAATGAGATGTGTTGTGGGTAATTGAACACTGAATTTTCATAGTGGTTCAACACAAAGTTACTGTGCACAGGTGTTTCTGTAATTGTGATGTATTGGGGGAGATTCGGTGTTCAATGGTCCTCAAACCCACACTTCCACCTGTGTGGTATAGTGGTCACTGGGCTGTGGTACAAAACAGGTAAAGTGTACGGCATAGCAGTTTCTTCACAGAAGGAAAAAAAAATCTCAAACCAGTATGTATATTCTTTGTTGTTTTACATAAACACAAATTTTGGGAAAGGAGACTTCTTTTCTTCTTTGTGAAAAATACTAAATTAAAAGTTTTATTAAACATGAATTCTTTTTCCAGTGAATTCATCTCTAATAATGTATTCTGTTCCCACTGAGTAACTAATTTGACTGTGTGATTGTTGTATTACTAACCACCTACCCACCCTGGTCTTGTCAGGTACATCTAACCCAATGTCAGAGAGATGTAACACAATATATCGCTGTGCTATCTGTTACAGACTGAATGTTTGCCCCACCTCTGATTGCGTATTTGAAGACTTAGCCCCAGGTTGATGGTATTTGGAGATGGGGTATGTGGGAGGTAATGAGGTTTAGAGGAGGTCATGAGAGTGAGGCCCCCATGATGGGATTAGTGCCCTTCTTTACGGGGATGGGGGGTGGGTAGTTGGCAGGATCAACCTGTTCTTTATTTCAGGGAGAGGGCAGGGGAGCGGGCTCAGTCTTTCCTTAACAGTGGCTTTCCTCATGGTAGCCAGGACATTGCCCAGCTCCTCCTGCTTTCTCTTGGCCCAGATGTGTGTCCCCACCCTTTTCTTGATGAACTTGAGGGTGCATTTGTCCTTGGAGACCTTCAGTAACTCTATGGCCCACCGCTCGTATGGGACGAGGCCACACACCTCCTGGATCATGTCACACACGAACTTGGTGTGTTTGGTCAGACGCTTGCAGCAGCGGCCGTGCCTGGGCTTGCTCACGTTCCTGGTTACCTTGCGGCCCTTATTGAGGCCCGCGGCCACAGGGTAGCGAAGAGCCATGGCTGCTGCTCTCCAGTGGCGGCCATGGCGGAAGGGCTGACGCCATGTGGAACTCTAGTAGGGTTAGTGCCCTTCTAAGAAGAGACACAAGGAGCTTGCTTCCTCTCTTTCCACCATTTGAGGTAGCTGTCCACAAGCCAAGAGGAAGGCCTTCACCAGGAATTGAATCACTTGCCCCTTGATCTTTAATCCTCAAGAACTGAGAAATGAATGCCTCTTGTTTCAGTCACCTATCCTCTGGTATTTTGTTGTAGCGGCCTGAGTTGACTAGTACAGTGTCTCAGATTACATGGGAATGTTGTGATGTATTAAAGTCCTTTGTAAACATTTCGGAGGGGTCTAAGGCCACAGCAGGCTGCAGAGATTGTTTCATCCAGGTGTAAACCTTGAGAGGGCACTAACACCCTTTAGGCTACCTTTGAATTCAGAAGGCAACTGGGTATATTGAATGTCTTTTATGTGACTACTCTAAATTCCAAGGTAATAAAGGCAAGAGGTGAAAGGTAAAGAATAATAATTCCTGAGTTCAAATCCTGGCTCTACCGCTTTTAATCTCTGTGACTATTGATAATTTATGTAAATTGTGTGTATCTCAGTTCTTTCATCTGTGAAAAAGGTAGTAAATACCTGCTTTGTTTACCATATGGAGTTGTTTTGAGGTTTCAAAGAGGTATTTGTGAAAGTGTTTTATTAATACTAGAAGTTTCTTACGCTGAATTTGTTTATTTAAAGTCGATTGTTACTGGTCACATGTTAACAAAAGTAGATATTTTTCAGCAATGTTTGATTGCTTTGTTAATTTTTATACATAAAAATATTTTACTGTATGCAGTTTTAACTGTCATGAATTTTTTTTTTTTAATTTTTCTGTCATTTCTTATGGACTGACAAAAGATCGTAGTTTTTGTTTATTTCTTAGGAAATCCATTCAGATAAAATAAGTCTCCCTGTGTCTTAAGATCTCATTAAAAAGTAAAGATTATCCTCAGGATCCAAAATTGTGGGGTCAGTTACTGACTTCTTATTATTTTTGTGAACATTTATGTTTAGAGCTTCAGATACAAAATATATAGAAAGTACTACAACTTAAGTATAATTACACACTTTTCTTTATTCTGCGAGCCTGTGGAATAGTACCTTAACAGACTTAATTTTAAAGTCTTAATAATGGAAAACTTTAAACATACATAAAAGTATGGCTGACAGTTCAGTGAATCCCTACGTATAAACCATGCCTTTTCCAAAATATACTTCATGGAGTAATGTTATTTTTTGCCTTCATAAAGCTTATATTTAATGTAACAGCATTTGTCTCTTCTGAAAGTGAATGTTTTAGAGCAAAGTGAAAAGCTGTATTTTATCCAGTTTTTTTTTTTCATTAGCATCTGGGTGGTTGGTACACATGAGTGGAGGGAGACCTATTTTTATATGAGATAGGTTCAGATATATTAAATTCACTGCTTTTTAAAAAATAAAAATAAGCTTTGTAGGCTTAAAATAAGCAGTTATAGGCTTACAATAAAACTGAGTTAAAAGTGCAGGGATTTCCCATATTCCCTCTACCTCCACACACACAAAACATCCCCCACCATCAACATTTTACATTATAATAGATGAATTTACATTAATGTTATTGTCACCCAAAGTCCACAATTTACATTAGGGTTCAGCCTTGGTGTTGTACATTCTATGAATTTTGTCTGATATATAATAACATGAATACACCATTGTATTTTATCATACACAATAATTCTGCTGCCCTAAAAATTCTCTGTGCTCTACTTGTTCATCCTCCCTCCCCACTAGTGCCTGGCAATCACTAATGTTTCTAATGTCTACATAATTTGCTTTTTCCAGAATATCATATCGATGGAATCATACAATAGGTAACCTTTTTAGATTGGATTCTCTCACTTATATTGTAATATGCATTTAAGTTGTCTCCATATCTTTTCATGGCTTGATAGCTCATTTATTTTTAGCACTGAATACTATTCCTTTGTCTGGATGTACCACAGTTTATCCACTCACCTACTGAAAGACATTCGGGGCACTTTCTAGTTTTGCCAGTTATGAATAAAGCTGCTTTATCCATGTGCAGGCTTTTGTGTGGACATGTTTTTAGCTTTTTTGGATAAATACTAAGGAGTGTGATTACTGGATTGTTTGGTTAACAGTGTGTTTACTTTGGTAAGAAACTGCCAAGTTGCCTTTCAGAGTGGCTGTACTATTTTGCATTCCCATCAGCAATAAATGAGAGTTCCTGTCACTTTATATCTTTGTTTGTATGTGGAGTTATCAAGTTTTTGGACTTTGTCCATTCTAATAAGTGTGTTGTAGTATATAATTTGTTTTAGTTAGCAATTCCCTAATGACATGATTTTGAACATGTTTTATATGTTTATTTGCCATATGTGTATCTTTTTTGGTGAGATATCTGTTCAGGTCTTCAGCCCATTTTTTAAAAAATTGGGTTGTTTGTTTTCTTGTTGAATTTTAGGAACTCTTTGTATATTTTGGATAACGGTCCTTCATCAGATATGTCTTTTGCAAATATTTTCTCCTAGTTTGTGTCTTGTCTTCTAATTCTTCTGACCTTGTCTTTTGCATGCAAAGGTTTTAAATTTTAATGAAGTCCAACTTATCAATTATTTCTTCCACAGATCATGTCTTTTGTATCTAAAAGTTGCCATAACCAAGGTCATCTAGATTGCTATGTTAGTCTCTAAAAGTTTTATAGTTTTGTGTTTTACGTTTAGTCTGTGACCCATTTGAGTTAATTTTTGTGAAGTGTGTAAGATCTGTTTCTACATTTTTTTTTTTAACATGTGGCTCTTTTCTTACTCCAGCATCATTTGTTGAAAAGACTACCTTTTATCCATTGTATTGTCTTGGCTGTTTTGTGAAAGCAGTTGGGTGTATTTATGAGAGTCTATTTTTGGGCTTTCCCTTCTGTTCCATTGATGTTTTTATCTGTCCTTTCACAAATACCACACTGTCTTGCTATGTATAGCTTTATAGTAAGTCTTAATTATGGAAAACTTTAAACATACATAAAAGTATGGCTGACAGTTCAGTGAATCCCTACATATACATCACGTAGCTACATTGTTCATCAGCTCATGGCTGCTCTCGTTTTGCTACCCCACCCCATTCCAAGATTTTGTGTAAAATTTTAGATATCATATAATTCATTTCTGTCTATCGAGAGTGTATTTATATCTTTACTTTAAAGAAACCAGAAAACCTTCTCCAGTATAAGTTGGTCCCCAGTTTTTAAATGCTTTTTTTGGGGGGTCCAGCTTAAATATACATTTTTAAAGAAACATGAAAAAAGTATTCTATGGTAGTATTTTATTGCATACATGTTCATATTTTAAACTTGGAAAATAAAACATTCATTTATAAGTAGAACATTCTATACTCATTTTATAAGATGGTTTTATCACATACGTTTTATAGATATTTTAAGAACTCCTTTTTGAGTCATTTAATAGTTTTCCATTGGAAAGCATCTTTACTTCTACATGGATTTTTGGAGATACACATTACCTTGGAATATGGATACAAGGCTGTCATAGAAATATATTTCAAACTTTGAGTACTCATTCACATGCTATTAGCATACTTAGAATTATTTTGTGAAAAAGATTTATCAATTCTCCCTCATTTATTTATTAGTTATTTTAACTGCCTAAGCTCTAGAACCAGTCGTGTTTTCATGTAAAAGAGCAGGTTTTATGGCTTTATGAGTAATGTTTTCTGTCTTAGTCAGATTTCAGTCAAATAGTTCTGTCTTTTTGTAATAGTAATACCAGTATTATACTGGAACAAGATTGGCATTACTAATGACTATATAGAAAAACTGAAACCATAATATAAAACATTTTAATTAGTACAAATTAGAAACCCCATGTATGATAATGCCTCATTTCTGTAGGCTCAATAGAAGTGTGTAATAACTGATTTTTTAAAACCTTTTCATGCATTTGTAAAACACATTTTTCTTGTCCCATGGCAATGGAAAATATAATGTTTACTGTTTTATTTTTAAGTTAGATTTTTTATTATCTGTATCACAAGAAATCAGAGTATCAAGATGATTGAAATATGAATAATATACTAAAAATAAGGGCTTCATATATAAAATAATATCTCAAGGCTTCATAATAGCCATTTTAGCTACATAAGGGTTTTTTCTACTTTGTTTCAAATTCACAGATGTATTAATTGAGACTGCCTAATATCAGTCTCTAGTCAAGAAATATATTTGAGTGTATAGAATAAGCTCAGAAGATCAAGCAGTTCTACTAAGAATATTTCTAAAAAGTGCTTTCAAATAAAAATGGAGGAATATTAAAATTAGATACTAAATTATCTTTTATCTATATGAAGTATGGTTAGTATACCAAGTGGAGTAAGTGGAAACTTCCTGTCAAGTAGATTTCAAAGCCTTTCAGATTCCTTTATTTTTACTCTTAAGCAGATGAAACATTTTCCTTAATATATCTTGTTTATCTTATTTGTTTATTCTGTTTCTGGACAAGGAGAAAGTCAAATTCATTTCATCATATATTTAACATGTTAAATAAGAATTATTATTTTTTTAAACCATTCAGAGTTCTCTCAGATATAAATGTTGATTCTTCCACTTAACTTACTTAAGTATCTGGGCTATTATCTCTAAGAGAGCACAAAATCTTCCCCTATCTGATATGTCAAAAGTCTTACAAAGGTAAAATCAGTTAGGTTGATATTTAAAAAATATTACTGAATTTAAAGTACCGTGTTAGGGGTTGCTGAAAGTGTAGTGCTTTATATAAAAATCATATAAAAATATATCTGACTTTTCTGAAAAATTCTATTGTGTTGCATTATCTGCCACAAAGCTCTCTTTTACCCCTTTATTCCTTGAGCATATTAATCATAGTTGTTTTATAGTCTTCGTTTGGGCTACTATAAGAAAAATATCCTAGATTGTATGACTTAAACAGTGAACA